ATGACACTACACTGGCCGATAAAATTAAAACATTGTTCAGAGAACAGGGAATAACCATTGCCAGTATTTTAACCGCGTTGGGATTTATTATATCGACTTTGACTCTCTCGTTAACAGGTGGCAGTACAGGTGGTGGTACACCGCCTAACGATAAAAATGGGATAAAAGAGTGGATAAAAAAGCATTTAAAAGCATTAGGTTCAGCACTGGGAAAGCTCGCTGAGAAAGCCGCGGCCGCACTTCCCGGTATAATAGGGAGTATAGTTTCCTGGCTATTGAATTTATTAGCTAAGACCACCACTTGGCTTAGTCAAAACTTGTGGGGGCTGATCGTAGCAATTGCAGGGCTGTTGTACGTATTCGCTAAGAACTATTTAACCACCAAATCAGTTCGCTAAGAACTATTTATCCAAATCATGAGTAAGCCAACCGAGACTCCACCCACTACAAGCGCTGTTTTTTCATCGATATGTTGTTGATTTTTAGCCGCAATATGCGGTGGTACTTGAGCATTAGTAGATGGTTGTGAAACATGTGGTGTTTGCGGCTTGACTATTCCCTTTTCGCCCGTGATTGTTTGCGTTATTAATTCGACGTTAATATCTGAATTTATACCTGTTTTTTGTTGATCGGTAGCGATAACAATTTTATTATTATAGCCTATCACTTGACCGATCTTAAGTTCCATATTACTCGGAGACATGTATAGTCCCGGCGCATAAACGAAGTCCACTTTGGATTGAGCGTACTGTAATGCATCTTGAAAACGCTTTATAGACGATGGTATGTCAACTGGTGAATTAATGGCGTCCTCCACGTTTGCGACAAACTGTTTTTGCGCATCGAGCGCCGTCCCAGTACCGATAATGGATGTTCGTGTTTGCGATTGTGCACCGAGAATTGCCCATACATAAGTTCTTATCGATTCATTAAATCTTACAAATCCTGGGTTAGTAAAATTATTTTCCGTTTTATCATTAAGAAATTCATTCCAAGCGTTTGCGGTATCGTTCATTTGTATAAATTTTGTAACAATATAAGCCAAACCACCCTTAAAACTCATAAGAGAACCTCTCCAATGGTTACTCGAAAGTTCCCGGCCATGATTAAGATTATGCAATCTTACAAAAAGATTGTCTATCTGTAAGAATGGATCGAATGGTTGATGAGTTTTTTTAACTAAATCATCGCTGACTTCTTTAACAGTTCTTTGTCCGCTGTACGGAACACCTAGACCATGGTTTGCTCCTTTAATGCGCCAATCTTTACTCGTAGAAACATTAAATTCATTACAAATACGCTCATACGCGGACCTATCATAATTATTATTTGTGGAATTCCACGCTCCATCCTGCAGTAATGGAGCACTAATTTCTTAAAGTATACGTCTAATCTGATAGTACACGTGAAATAATAAAACAGACTTATTTAGCATAAATCCTGGGGCATTAACAGATACGCCACATCCCGTTGTGGCACACCATATGGCAAAGTTTAACTGATTCTGCCAAAATTGCATCGGATTGTGAAACCAATCGTGCACCATTTTATCGCTAGTTGCCGTGACCCTGTACTTTTCAAAGATATCTGGGAATTTAACGAAAAATTCAGCACCAGAGGCAGTTACTATAATCGATTGATTAGTAATGTATCTCGATTTCATATTTAAGTTATGATATAGTATCATTGTATATTTAATATGTATGTTACACTCCCGGGAATAACAAATGGTCAGTCTATTGAACTGCTTCATACTATCGATAACTCGGATGGACAACTCGAAGTAGCTCTATGCGACGTAACGTATTACCAACGGTGGACCAATATAAGTGCTGCGAGAAGAAATAATGAGATATTTATAATAGATGACCAAAATAGAATTAATAGAATTATTACTATACCTGATGGGTATTACAGCATAAGCTCACTCAATGATGAATATTTTAAGTCTGATATGGAATTTTTACATACTGGTAAAATTAGTATCACACAAAATGGGGCGACTGGGACAGTGAAAATCATCAATGGATACACAAATATAATTATTGGTGAGAACTTAGCATAGACACTTGGATTGGGAAGAGAAATAACATTATCACCCGGCACAATATTTATTTCAAATGGTACATTACCCGATTTAGTTCCCTATAAAGAGTTGTTCATTCATCTTGATCAAATAAGCACAACGGATAATATTCAACTAGAAAGTCCTTCAACTCTTCTCAGAAGTGTTCCAGTTAAAGATGAAAAATATAATAGCGGTAGAACGGAATCTTTCTCGTTATTACAATATAAAAAATTGAAGCGTGGTATTATTTCAGACCTTAAAATTTCTGTATTAGATGTAAAACACCAACCTGTACATATAGGATACTTAAGTGTAACACTCCATATTATATAATGGTTGATTCCATATTTAAGTTATGATATAGTATCATTGTATATTTGATATGTATGTTACACTCCTGGGAATAACAAATGGTCAGTCTATTGAACTGCTTCGTACTATCGATAACTCGGATGGACAACTCGAAGTCGCTCTATGCGATGTAACGTATTACCCGAGGTGGACCAATATAAGTGCTACGATGGGTTATAATAATGAGACAGAAATAAATGGTAAAAAAAACATTATAACTGATGGGTATTACAGCGTATGCTCACTCAATGATGAATTTTTTAAGCCTAATGGAATTAGTCTAACACAAAATGAGTCAAATGGGTTACTGATTTTAAACGCTGGAACAAAGGATGTAAAGCTTTACAAGAACTTAGCATACACACTTGGATGGGGAGGAGAAATAACAGTAATCAAGACATCAGATCAGGGACTCTATTTACCTGAGTTAGTTCCCTATAAAGAGTTGTGCATCCATCTTGATCAAATCAGTACAACAGATAATATTCAACAAGAAAGTCCTTCAACTCTGCTCAGAAGTGTTCCAGTGAAAAATGAAAAATACAATAGTGGCAGAACTGAATCATTCTCGACATTACAATATAAAAAATTAAAGCGTGGTATTATTTCAGACCTCAAAATTTCTGTATTAGATGTAAAACACCAACCTGTACATATAGGATACTTAAGTGTAACACTCCATATTATAAATAATGGTTGATTCATCAGGCCCTGGAACACTAAGAAAATGTAATACAATTGCGCTTTCCGATCTCGGAGACACAGAAGGATTCGGTAAACCCGGTACCGATGGTAAGTTATACGCTTTACACTTACACGATAATGTATACAATCGGAAAGAAGTTACATTCGCGGGTAATCTAGGAGATTTAAGCGATGTCGATGTTAGTAGACTCCTTAAAAACACTTCGTACAATATTACTCGCAACGACGATAATAAATGGACTATGGTCGAAGCAAACATCGAGTGGCTACTGAATATCGTCATTACCCCACCTTATGTGATGATGGGTAAGGGACATAATTTAACTAAGATAATAAATAGTGGCATCGTACTCGCGGCTTATATCCCATCAAAACGAAAAAGTGTGTTAGTTACTCCCCTGCCAGAAAACCCAGCTCATATGTTATATAGTCGTCCGGCCTTAAAAAATATTACTTTAAATTTGGTTACTGAATTCGATAAAATTAAAGTTAACTTGAGTGCAATACCTAATCTTTCTACGCTTATTATTGAAGTCTTGTTCGGAGATGCACCGGAAGATGCCTTCGATATATTACCAGGTCTATCGATTAAATGGCTCAAGAAACACGAGCGTCAACGTTGCAGTATTATTCATATCGGAGCATCGCCCGTTGCAACCCTCGAGGGGGTCCAAATTATTAAAAGTGACAGTATTTCTCTTACTAAGATATTCTTGCCGTATAATATACATTTGATAAGGTTGATGTATAGTCTCAAAACATTTAAGCAAGACCAATTAAAGACTATTATATGAACGTAATATACACTATGAGTTTATATCCGACGCTCGGTGAAGCATTTGAAAAGATGGAAACTGTTGATGGATTTCGATTACATCAAATAAGCGACATAAAACATCGAATAGGGAAGGATAGGGAGTTGAGACTTGGATTGTATAAAAAGTATCACAGAGCCGTGAATGCTCTCGACGGAGTTGACACCGTGCTTTTAGTATCTGGCATGGGACTCGGTGTAGCGGGTATCGGTTTACTATCAACTATAATCGCCGCGCCTATGGTGCTCGGCATGGAAATAACCGCTGGAGTCTCGGGACTGGCAGGAATAGCGATAAAATTCATTTCTCGTAGGTTACAAAAGAAAGCATTAAAACACGATAGTATTCGGATACTCGCCGAAGCAAAGTTGAACAGCATTGAGGATCATATTTCGACAGCAATGGCCGATTGTAAGATATCCGAGGATGAGTTTCATTTAGTGCTGTCGGAACTCACCAAATACAATGAAATGAAGCAGGAGATTCGATCAAAATCTCGTAAGACCAGTGGTATTAGCGAAGACGGGAAAAAAAGTTCATAGAACAGGGGAGGCAACAAGCGCATCAGTTATTCCGTGCCAAAACCAAAGAACTGGTTGGAGATTAAAAATAGATTGCTTACTATTGTTTGATCACATTTAGACAAATGCTTACATAAATATATAATAATGGAGAAAGCTATTCAATGGAGAGAATTACCACAAGGTTTTTATTATATCAGTGATGTCAAACCAACCAAATACGGTTATCAATTGTTTCTTATCAATTTACAAAAAGAGTGTAGTTTTATAGTCTGGTCTCCTAGTAAAATGAACGAAGAACTTAATAAAAATGTTGAATATCGCTTTATCGATAAAAATAATAAAGAATATTTTTATTACCATTTAGACTCATCTGAAGCATTGATTGGCCCCAGGTATTGGTGAGCTAGAGCCAATTTAACTTAATCTCATGACTATCGTTGAATCGCAATATCATTTTGGCATAAAAAATCCCCCCTGTAGTAGCAGTATAGGTATATGAATCTGGCTCCAGTGGAAGTGGTCCAGAACCATCATTACCTATACTACTCCACGACACAACTTTTCATATGCTTGAACACATGGTTTACTGTCAGTCAGGATACATGCTTGTAGGCTTGACTGTACAAGGTAAGGACTAAAGTGCTTGGTGGCAACAGCTATAGATAGTGCTTCTATTTCACACGGTAGCCATGTCATTTGACGCTGGCGCAGTTTGGCACTGAAGAAACCAGCGAGGAGAGTACTGTTGTTCCTTGTAATGTAGAGAGTAGCACCTACGCCATGGTTTTTCACTGCTCCATCTGTAACGATCCATAGCTGGTCATCCCTCCGAGGAAGAACAATGGTTTTATGTGAGGATAGTGCAGATTGAGCATTTCCAAAGGCACAGATAAGTACCTCTGACCAAACTATTCTCTCTGCTGAAGGACGTCCAGCTTGAAGAGTGTCCAATGGACCCAATAGTCCAGCACAACCTGGTATTACCCGGGCTAACACTTTGTAGGCTCCAATAAACGACCTCAAACCCTTGACTGTAGATGGACGGGTGCAACTAGAGAGGGTGGAAATTCTGTGAGGACTTGCTTGAATTGAGCCATTTTTCCAAATCCATCCTAAGATGGTCACACTAGAAGGGCCGACAGTAGTCTTGGCAGCTGAAAGCTTTAATCCATTGAATTGGAAGGCCTGTAGAACACGTCGCCAGTTTTTCAGAAGCTCGTCTACGGTATTACCTCCACAATATAAGTCATCTGCCAACTTGGCCACTGATCCTTCCTTGAGCAAGTGCCCAAGCACACGACACATCAATTCTTCTAACGCAGTTTCAGAGCCCGGCATGCCCATGGCTGATCGGGCATAAACACGGACTCCACGGAAGGGAGTGGCCACACCACAATATTTCATTGATCCACGTGACAGGGGTATTTGGTAAAAAGCATTTGTCAAATCTGTGGTTATGATGTACTTCCATGCAGCTATCTGGCGTAATGTAGAATCAACATCAGGCATGAGTGATGGTTGTGGTTTACTATACCGCCCCACATCTGTGAATGCTGTAACCAGACGAAATCCACCATTTGACTTCTTGACAAGGAAGGAAGGATTTAAATATTCCACTGATATCCCCACATCTTCAGGCTTGACGAAGACACCAATGTCCTCAAGCTCATCGAATTTGTCTTGCAACTCTACAAGTTTGTCACGTGAGTATTGTGGGACTCGTCCCTTGCGTTGAGGGGGTTGGACAGGACCCATGTTGACAACTGCCTTGAACGGGCCAGATTTTCCATTATATCCATGGACATGTGGATTAAACACATCATCGTACTCCTTTATGAGGGCGTGGAAACTGTTGCGAGTGTCTGGTGTGAACTGGTTATCTGGGTCAATGCGTACCTGTTCTGAACAATTGACCTTGCATGTAGTAGTGGACTGTCTGAGAGGAATGCTTTCTGATTGACTATCGACCATCTCGGTCCCAGAGTTTGGGATGGTGAATACTTGTTGAACCTGGCAAAAGTGCTCATGCTTCTTGAGGACAAGAAGCTCTTTGGTGTCATTAGGAATTCTAATCTTCCCTGAAACGCTGGACATTATATCTGGTGTTGGCCATTCTTTGTGGTCTTTGAATAAATCACCTGTTAGACGTGGTTCCACTGCGAATGTGTCATCTGAGTGGATCAGGTCATCCGGGAGTGATAACTCTATGAAATCGCCAGGCCAGATTGTTGTAGGGGACTTAGGCGCTCGTAAGACATGTGCACGTCTAACTGTATGGTGTGACGAGTGGGTTTCTTGGTTGCCGTACTGGAAGGTGGTTCCATCTCCGTCTTGTAATTTGGCGCTTAGCTGGGCGTACGGCAACATCATTTATTTCCATGAACGGTGTTCCTGCAAGCAACTCGACATCAAGGTTCTCCACAACAAGGCCCTCGAAAATAAAATCCTTATTGTCACGGCTGAGAGTTACTCGTGTTTCACCAACAATATGGAGTGGGGATGAACCATCAGCCTGATGGCCAGATTGTGAACTTTTGGTGACTTCAATGCCGAGTCTCCTGGCAGTAGTCTGACTGATCATATTACCTGTAGCTCCACTGTCGAGGGTAAGACATATGACATTATGACCATAAAATGCGTTCATATATGGAGACTGACGTACACTGACTCTATTGACTGAAGCATTGTTTACACTTGAGGCAGTAACGGGAGGTGTAGATACTGTGTCTGTATGAGGGGACTGTCCATCTTCATCCTCTGACTCATCCAGGATGCTAGCTATTTGACGTGCCTTAGCCATGTATTTTCTGTCTTGATCAGGTAAGTATGAACATTCACTGAGAAAGTGATTGTCATTAGGACGACCAGCTGTGTGACAGAGGGGACACATTTTTGAGGTTGACTGGTAACGACATTTATTGGATGTCTGCTGTATGCGAGGTCTAAAATTAGATCTTTGACAGAAGTTGTTTGCTCTAGTGGTAGCAGTCCTCATGACCTTGGCATCCTCAGATGAATGTATTTCATCTAACAGGGAATTGAGTGCCTGTGATATCTCAGGTTTAATTGACGCTAGAGTACGGGATCTCAGTTCCGTTCCATATCGTTGCTTCACCAGCTTGGGCAAATCAGGATGGATAAGGCGAAACCAAGTCAGGATAATAATGTTCTCTTACGTAGGTGTTAATTCCTCATCCTCGCCAATCGCCTCTCCATGATGAGTGATTCCGCCATTTTGTCTGAGCAGATTATCTTCCATAAATGCAGACAGGCGCTGGTAAAGATCCTCTGGTCGCTCCTCAGGTTGGAGATGTATGTCACACAAATCAAGAAAATGTGCACCAGATGACTGGAAGCCGTAGTGTAGTCTGATAGTCTGCCAGATACTTGAAATCGATACTGAACTTTTCACAATGGTGTTCCTGGCAATTACAGGACAATAATTGGCGATTTGGCCCAACATTAACTCGAGTGATGTTACCTTTTGCGCTGCCGTCTTGCGTTGAGCTCCAGCAACGTCTTCCCCATCATTTTCAAATCCTCGTAACGGGGTTGCACGTGTACGTTTTCCCCACGTGGCGCCGTCAGCAAGAAATGTTGCAAAATTCGTGTCCAGTGATAACGTATATAGTAGGTTTTGTTTCCAATTCTCAAACGAATTAACAGTTTCATGTTTCGTGAGAGACCACTGTTTCGGTGCTCTGTGAGTGTTTGCCATGATGTTATGCTAGTAGGCCTACTTGAAATACCCGCGCTATCGTGGCGATGTCGACCAGGTAGATTGCACACTTATTCGTGTAGTAACTGCGAAAGTCAGGTTAAGTGCCGTGTTCAGAGATACGGATGATCGTCTCCGCTGCCACCACGCCAGCTTTGACCCTCGCAATTCACAACCCAACACAGGTATTCCAATATACTTGGAGCTTTACTTCTCAGTAATGGCCAAACAACATGTGAGGAGAAGACGACACAAGCCAAGGGAGGTAACTCTCCCACTACCTAGGCAGTCTGCCGCTAAACATAAACAACGGTCGCCAACCACACTGGCGAAATACTAAACCCAACTAATTCGTATTTTCAATCCGCTATTCCTCTGGTCAGTTTTGACCACAGTGATCCGTTTAAAAAAACTAAGACGTTTTGATCAAAGTGTCTGGTCCGTGTTGGCGCTGGTCTGCTTTGACGGTGACCACCCGATCCGTCGAATTTCTGAAGGAAGGAAGGAATTTAACTGGTTTAACGTCCGCTTCGCATTTACTGCATTTCGCGGACGGGGTAGGTGGTGTTAATAACGATAAATAACATAAAAATAAGTAAGCACCATACCCAAAGAACTGTAAGTGGGGTGGGGGTGGGTGGGTGTAACCTGCGCTAAGTAGGTGTGTGTGTGGGGGGGGGGGGGGGGGAGCTTGATGGGTATAGTAGTGTAGCAGTTAAGCTGCTATGTGAGCGGGTTTATAATGGTAAAGAAAGAAAAAGGGCTGTTTAGGTAATTGGGGTAATGGTTGGGGGGGGGGGGGGCTGGGGGTGAGGGAGTCTTGGTCAGTCATGTGTTATGACGTTGACGGTGGGCTTGGGGTGCCGGCGACAGTGGGCTGGATAACTGGTGTCTTGAGTTGGTGGTATGGGTAAACGGGCTTAGGGCGCGGACGTCGGAGAAGTGAATTTTAGTTGGTAGATTTGGATCTCGATCCTGTTTTTATGGTATGGGTGTTTGGGTATGGAAGTGGCCTTATTTGCTAGGGGTTTAGTTTAAAAGCGATTTGTTAAGTTACTGCTAGTAATGAATGTGGCTATGGCATTGAATATGGTTTGAGGATTATCCGGGGAGAAGAGTTCAGCTATGTTTGTTTGGGGGGTGGGGGGTGATGATGATGTTATAATGTTGAGTGCGCTGTGTGGTGTATTTAGGGCAGTTGTTGAATATATGATGAAGGTCCTCTGGTGTGTTGCAGTGGGTACAATTTCCGTCTGCATGCCTGTTTTGTCTGAAAAGGTTATAATTAAGGTTGTAGGTGCCGCTTATGATTCTGGTTAATATTTTGTCCATTTGAGGGTGGGTGCTGTAATTGCGACTTTTAATCTTAGGCTTAGAGTAGAGTGTTTTTATCCATAGGGAGTTGGAGTAATTGGCTGTGGTTAAGGGAACTGATAGATTTTTTGAATAGGGTTTTGATTTCTGCTTTAGATGTGTGAAAATGGATTTGAAGGGACGGGTTAGTGGTGGCAGTGTTTGCTAGTGTGTGTGCTAGTTGGTTACCTGGGATGTTTGAGTGGCCATAGTAGATGTATATGTTTATTTTGTGTAGAGAGGTGGTGGGTGAGGTGAATATGTTGTTAATGAGATCGGGCCGGGTTTTGGAGTGTTTGTTTTTGATTTGGGTGAGTGCGCTTAAGGAGTCAGAGATGATTAAGAAGTTATTTTTGTTGATTGTTTTAGTGGAGTGGATTGCAGTGAGAATAGCTAGCAGTTCAGCAGTGTTGTTGTTGGAATGGTTTAAGTAATGGAAGTTAGTGGAGATGGGCGGGTTTTGGTCGATATGTATGCCTATGCCGGATTTGTGGTTATTGTTTTGGGAAGCGTCTGTGTATATGTGGGTGCATGTTGGCCAGGCCATGTGTATGTGTGTGAGTGCTAGTTTTGATTTGGCAGTTTTAGTGATGTTGGGTTGTGTTTGGAATAGTGTGTGTAGGGAGGTGTCTACTTGGGGGACTGGGAGGTCAATTATATAGTGGGCAGGTGGTGGGGTGTGAGTTATTGAGGAGAGTTTATGGGTTTGAATTAGGTGATGGAGGTGGAACATGTATGCTGCTAAATTGGGATGCTGTTTGAATTTATGGGCTGTGTATTTGTTTATGTCGGCGTATTTAAGTTTGATTGTATTGAAAATGGGGTTGTGTTGAGCCCCAGCCCAGTGGGCTGGGTTGGAGTGAGGGGTTGGGCGGGATGGTGGTGAATGTCGGCAAGTGTTGTAATTTGGTGGTTTGCTTGGGGTTGTGATTGAGGGTTGTGATTTGGGGGGCCTTGTGGTGAGTCTTTGATTGGAATGTGTTGGGGGGGGGGGGGGGGCGGCGGCGACGGAGTTGAGGGTTGAGTTTAGGGAGTGATCAGAGTAGGGCGGCGGTGAACAATGGCGGCCAGCCGGCCGGCTTGGGCGTTCAAGAAGTCCGAATCCCTAGGTTTCTTGTTGTCTTGTTGTAGGCACTTTGAATCAGGTAGCTGGTGACGATTTTGTTGATGATACTAGCTCATTAATCCGTAGATTGGATATTGGCCGCAGGGGGTGTGATTTACCTCTCCGGTAAGCAAATGTAGTGTTTCATCTCCAACAGATAGATTACGAATGACGACGGAATTTCTGAAATTAAAATGTTTCAATTTGTAGAAAGAAAGTGTCTGGGTTTTTCCCGATCGGTCGAATATATGCTACCACTCAACCATGACTACTCACTGGGCGCATCTACTTTCACTAATTAAGGGGTGAACGGATGGTAGCAACTAAGAGGCTTACAGTTAAAAGATGAGGAGATTAAGCTTATGTGATTTAAAATGAAAACACAACATATGTTTGTTTTATATTTTTGAGTCAAACGTGGCATGTTGAGCTCGGAGATTACTTATGACAACATTACTTCAAAAGTTGCGACCTTACAAGCAGGTTATAAAATAAATTGATGTTTTTTTATATAAAACAGCTGTACCTCCAAACATATCGACCGTGTGCGAAATACGCATCAGTCGGAAAGCGCACGTTAAATCTCCAAAGTAAGTAAGTAAGTAAGTAAAAATATCGAATGAACCGTAGGAAACCTTGAAACCCAAGTAATCTCCCTAAAACTGGCAAATGGCAACGAATTACGCATAGCTAACATATATCACAGGGTTACCCATGAAACGAACATGGAAGAGCTAACAAGACTAGCTCAAATAGTAGACAAAAATGGGATAATCCTTGGTGATTTTAATGCCCACAGCCCTCTTTGGGAAGACAGGAATGATTCATGCAAATACGGCAAAATGGTAGAGAAATGGGTTGAGGACGACAATCTCATAACTCTGAACAACGGCAGTCACATACGTTATGACCAAGTCCACAACACGTGGAGTTCAATTGATCTCACAATTGCCACCAAAAACCTCGCCTCACATTGCCAATGGCAAGTCCATGACAACACTTGGGGAAGCGATCACCTTCCTATACTCACCTGCATAGGTAGCCCACCACAATTAGAGGAACAGCCCAATCCTCAGTCCACATGGGACTATGCAAAAGCTGATTGGCCTAAATTCAGGAAGGAATGTATATCATTCAAGTCCTCAGAAATTGCCTCGGATAATCCTGATCTTTTTTGCCAAAATCTCACCTCAGTAATTATTGCCGCAGCTGAAAAATCAATTCCAAAAAAGACCACAAAACTGGCAAAACTCCGGTACCATGGTGGAACAGGGAAATAGCAAAAGCTAGGAGAGTGAGATAGAAAGCCCTAAATAGGTCAACAAGGGATAAATCAGCCTTCGCCGAAGTCCGAGCAGCCAGGACAAAAGTAAGACAACTCATAGACGATTCTAAAAAAGAGTCATGGCAGACCTTCTGCAAATCCCTTAATGAGAAAACAAATGCTAAAACAGTCTGGAGCAAAATACACGCAATCAGGGGTAAGCGTAAACCCACAAAAATTCCCAAGTTAGCCAAAGTCCATACAGTCAAAAAAAAGGCCAACATTCTAGCTGAGCACTTCTCATCTGTCAGCAGCAACACAAATTGCAGCGAAGAATTCAAACAGGAAAAAATGGTTATGCTTAAGACCTCAAAACGGCCGCAAAGCAAGCATCTGGTATACAATATACCATTTACTGTGACAGAGTTTGATGGTGTGATACAACATAGAAAAGGCATTGCACCTGGTCTTGACACAACCAGCTACGAGATATTGAAAAACCTACCTGATCAAACCAAAGGCTTACTCACTGAGTTGTATAACACGATATGCTCCAAAGGAGAAGTCCCAAAAGCATGGAAACATGCTGCAGTTATCCCGCTGCTAAAGCAAGGGAAAGACGAAGCCCTGCCAAACTGTTATCGACCGATCTCACTCACCTGAAACATGGTTACTAAAAGGCTCATGCATCACCCTGAAACTGGCAACCACATAAAACCTGACCAAAGTGGCTTCAGGAAGGGACACTCATGTCTAGATCATATTCTAAGACTGGAAAATGAAATAAAAAAAGCTCTTATAAAATCAGACAATACCTAGCCGCAGTATTTCCGGACTTCAGCAAAGCCTTCGACATGGTATGGCATGATGGACTCCTCTCAAAACTAGCACAAAATGGAGTAGAAGGGAACATAGCAAACTTCATAGACAGCTTCCTGCAAGACAGGTCGCTATCAGTTAAAATAGGGAACAATCGATCTGATCCTATGGCACTGGACAATGGCACGCCACAAGGCAGCATTATAAGCCCAACCCTGTTCAATATCATGATCAATGATCTTTTTGACCATGTCAACTCTCCTACCCAAACTTCTAAATTCGCTGATGACGGAGCAATATGGGTAAAGCACAGAGAATGTCAGAGATATTTCACAAATCAGAAAAAAAACTCCAGTCAGCCCTGGACGTAGTAGATCAATGGTGCAATAAATGGGGATTCACCCTTTCAAGTGAAAAAACTGTTGGAGTTCTATTCAAACGCCGGGGGAAAGATGCTATGATACCCCGTGTCTCCATAAAAGGCAAACCTATCATATTCGAAAAATCTGCAATATTTCTTGGGGTGGTCCTTGATCAACACCTCACTTGGCGCAAACATATAGAATTTGTGGAAAACAGATGTCAAAAAGACCTGAATGTATTACGGGCAATTTCAGGCACATCTTGGGGCACATCGAGGGACACTCAGCTGGACCTCTACAAATCTCTTATCAGATCAAAAATTGACTATGGTTGTGAGGCTTTTCATTCAGCATCAAATACTGTCTTGAGGCGCCTAGACAGAATACAATACAAAGCCCCAATGCTGGCCACAGGCACTTCACTAGAAGCACTACAAGTAGAAACGGGAGAACTCCCACTGAAACTAAGAAGAGAGCAGGCAATATTATCGTTCTGGGGACGAAGATCAAACCCTTTGGTTAAAATAATATGGCAAGACAAAAAAACTCGAGATGAAGCCCTAGCTCGAAAAAATCCCTCACTAGAGCCATCTGGGATATTAGTACGTGAACTCATTCGAAGTCATGTGATGACATTCAGCCTCCAGAAAGTCACTACAAAGGGTTACACCCTCCCTGGACTTTAAAAACTCCCAAAGTTGACACTGCTTTAACATCAGAAGTCACTAAAAAAGAAAACCTAACCCTACTACGATCAGTAGCTATCACTAAAATTCAAACTACCTGGGACAGCTGGGCCCATATATACACTGATGGATCCAAGAATCCTATCAACAACAGTGCTGGTTACGGGATAAATATCCACAGCTCCAAACCCCAACCACATTCAGTTCGCTTGCCTGATGGTCAGTCAGTTTCGCGGCTGAATTGGAGGCAATTCATCATGCACTCAAACTCATACCGGAACTTCCGGAAGCAAAGGCAGTCGTCCTATCAGACTCGCGAAGTGCACTTCAGGCCATAAGTGGCAGAAATTCAAACTCCAGGCCAAACACAGTCAACAATATTCTATAAGAATGTACAAAACTATCGGACCAAGGGCAACAGGTGGAGCTGTGTTGGATCCCCTCTCATATAGATATTCATGGAAATGAAAAAGCAGACTCACTGGCGAAGCTAGCCCTAGACAAAACAGATATACAGCCTATTCCCTTTAGTAAACTAGAGATAAAAATCAAAATCAAAGCCTCCATAGCAGAAAGATGGCAAGCCGAATGGGACGCAAGTAAGATCGACAGATGGCAATACAAAATTCGACCCAAGGTCCAACAAAAGCCAAACTCATACTCAAATGAAAGGAAAATTGAAATTGCTATATCACGCCTCAGTATCGGTTAGCTCAATTTATCAGCGCATTTGTGACCAACTCTTCTTGCAGGTTATGGAAAGGGGCGAGTGATGACGAATGTTTATCAGCGATCTCCGAGACAGCCTGGTTTCCTGGGTATGCTGCGCTGGCCCTACTCTGTTTCCGTACAATGTAACTGTCACGGTCGCTATTCTAAGATGCGTCGTAAATCACACAGGACAACAAAGTCCTAAGAACAGTTAACGTAGATATTATATAAAATGCAGACTGCAATCTTGGATTTATGATTGATTGATTGATCTTTGAAGATTTTATAGATTTTCGGCAACGAGGTCCATTTACACCTTGTCCACAATGAAGGCTTACAAAATTCCTAAAAATGTTATGAAGTTATACACCAACATTGTTCTACATATTTGGTAATTTCTTTGAGCCGAAGGTCCTTGAATGAAAGCACACACGATCATTGTATCCTGCTGTTTACAGTTGTAATTAGTATGTATATTTTGAATATCTTTTATACATTTTTTTACACATTTAATTTCATGTTTTTTTGCTATTCTGTTCCAATTTCAATGTTTTCAACAGAAGTTTCACCATTTTAACGTAATCATCCAATAAATATATTGCAACCACACACGAGTCGTACAACACATTTCTATTTTGTCAGAAGAGTCACATCATATATATTGCGAGTTATTCCGTATTCCTTAAATGGAACACCAACCCACGTAAACATAAACTTGATTGTCATGGAATGGAAAGGCAAAGTTAGGAATATTTTCAATGCGACATTTATATTGTATGCGTGGCTCTACATGTGTCGACATATATAAATTTCCAACATGCGAATATTTTATTCGCTCAAAGTTTTTCTCGCATAGCACAATTTTGGGGTGTATTCGAAACTCATGCGAAATGTTCATGCAAAGAATACGCTAGACATATTCACTATTATGTCTCTTACATATTGATATCATGTACCTAACATGCTTGAAGAAAATAATTTTGCCTACAATTAAGTACAATTTAAAGTTTGAAGGTCTTTCTTGCACCAGATGGTGACACATCTAACAAAATGACTAAAGTCTGTGACGCTTCTCAGTAGAGGCTTTTGTAGAAGGGTAGCGCTTCATCTAAAAATAGCGACTAATGAAACATGGGAGCAGGCTAAAACGGCACCTTAGCAAAACGTCACCGCATTTGGCGAAAACGGCTACTATGTGTCGGGCGAAAACGGCACCTCTATTTTTATTAATGATAAGAACGATTTTTGTTGTAATATATCTGGTTTATTTACATGGTATTTGATGTATTTACATGTTATTGGATGTATGTGATGTATTTACACGGACAGGTAAGAAGTCCGCGGCAATCTGAAAATATGAATAAAAGTTAAAATACAATATTCGTTATGTTACATTATTGCGGTTATTCTGAGAATTTATACAATAGCATTATGTAGTTTATTTTATTATTATTAGTACAACGAAGTCCAATGTCCATGATACAGCATATTGATTTTTTCTGACATTCTTCTCGCATGCAACACATCGAAAGGCCATTATGAATAATTGTGATCTGACAGGACCATGTTTGGCCTCTAAATACAGTTTCAGCTTGAATTGAATAAAAGCACTTAAAACTTCAAAGCATATAGTGTTTTCACAATAAGTAAACTGCGCCTACCAATCAGAGTCGGCGAGTAAATTGGAGAAGGGGTCTAATTTCTTACTTGTTTTATGTAAGTTTATTATCTCTTATTTGACCAAGGTGTAAAAAAATAAGATGCTGTTTTCGCCAGGCAATAGTAGCTGTTTTCGCTTGAGTCGAGGTGCCGTTTTCGCCCGGTGACGTTTTGCTGAGGTGCCGTTTTCGGTATAACCATGAAACATTACATAACATAGTGTATGTCTAATCTTTCGAAGGCGTTCACAGGCATCGTCTCATTGGCCTGTACCGGCTCGAATATTGTGATATTAGAGACGGGGCCCAGCCTAGCCCAGGTTAGCAGGAAGTTACCGCCTTTTCAAAAAGGGACGTCACTCTTGTTGTATTTTGTTTGTTTGCATTGTATCTACGCTGACTTTTGAAGCTGTTTGCTGAATGTCCATTCCTTATGACATATTCATATAATATAGCAGGGTAGCAGCCTGTCAGAACTCTGTGAGACATGACCGATGCATCAGGTGAAGTCGCCTTTTGACAGATTCATGATGATTTCTACCTTCGAGACGAGGGGATCGAAGACTCTCCTGACCAGAGGTCAGACGAAGAGTTCCATGCGGCCAGTCATCACTGCGCCGGAATGTGGATAGGAGAGCACTAAAAAAATTAATTAAATTACAGTAGCCTAATTTAGTAAGGTCGGGGATCAGAGGCGATGATTTCAAATTCATCCAGTTAGATCAAGGCGAACGGACAAAATGTTGAAGGAATGAGAGCATAGCACAGCTGTAGCATTGGTGCTCACACTCAGAGTCGCGTGTTTCTAATCTTCCGTTGAACCGGAATGGAATTATTTGCCTGTAGAGCAGAAAAGGTTTCGGAAGTTCTTCTTAGAAACTGGGGAAAAAAAAGAGATCAACTGAATCTTTAGACAAATATTTTTCATTGTTAGGGGGATGACTTTTTTCAAGTCACATTTTGTTGATTCATGACATTTTGCTGAGATTCGCAGGGGAACCTAGGCATGGTCACCTCGGATGCCCATTTCTACATACTTCGAGTTCAAGATGCAGGATGTGTGACCAAAAGAATCATGTACTACATAAGAATTCTAATTCTAATAAGAGCCCCCTATTTCTAATTTTGGAGCGCTCTGGGCGCTTATTGCGTCAAATATTTCTAATTTTGAGAGTGCCCTGGACGAGTATTGGTCGAATACAGTGTATGTTTTCACATTTGGCATTTGGATTATGCTTATGAGACTTGAAAGTTGCAATTGTATGGTTAATTATATATGAGATCGAGCTCTGTGCACTCAATATGAGATACAGCTCTATATCTTTCTTTTATATCACTCATGTCATTTTTCTAACACATTCATATGTGTTGACCACAACACAAACTGCCAGTGCCCATACAATATTATATCTGCTTGTATCTCACACATCATTGCATTTATGGACATGCTTCAGTGCTGTAGCCAGCCAGGGGGACAGTTGCCCCCCCCCCTGGATTTTTTATAGAAAATTTTTCTATTGGAATCATGGAAATACAAGTTGTACTTACAATGTACAATGTTTGCCCCCCCCCCCCCCCCCCCCCCCCCCTGTCAAAAAAAGTGGCCTTGTGCTTAGTCCTAATGCTTACTATATGTACATGTTTATCACTGCACTCTATTTCATTGAGGGCCCGTGAAGATTCCGGGGTAGAATAGGTCTTCAGCAACCCATGCTTGCCGTAAAAAGGTGACTATGCTTGTCATAAAAGGCGACTAACGGGATCGGGTGGTCAGGCTTGCTGACTTGGTTGATGCGTGTCATCGATCCCAATTGCGTGGATCGATGCTCATGATATTAATCACTGGATTGTGTGGTCCAGACTCGATTATTTACAGACCGCCGTCATATAGCTGTAATATTGCTGAGTGCGGCGTTAAACAACAAACCAACCAACCAACTATTTCATTTAGGTTTTCTGCTACTGTATATTTCATCACACTCATTCTTGTACTGTTTGCACACACAAGTAGTTCATTGCATGTAAATACCCTTCATTTACTCTTGTGTTTCGTGGTACAATGATGTTCTACTTTTACAAGTTTTAATTATAGAACTTTGAGATACTGTATCTGGTGTACGATTCATACTTGGAATAGACAAATTAACTTCATTTCACAAAACATATCAATAGCAAACCTGTCGGTGCCCTTGCCTGGATAATACTATTTCTTGTTTTAGCCAATGACTGATTTGAGGGCGTACAGAGCATCAATAGGTTTGCATTACAACAAATGTTATTCAACTCACCTAAAAAAAGGGAAAATTCCGCATTATCAATCCATCATCCACTGCCTACTTTAGTTGGTTATTCCATGGATGTTTTGAACACTTTTATTTATCCATCAGTCTTGTTCAAATATACCTCTGTTCGGGACAGGCTTTCACTAACTCCAATATTATACCAATCCTCATCTTACTTCTCATTATTGCTGGAGATGTCAAGCAAAATCCTGGCCCTGTTTCAGTAAACTCGCACAATAAGGAAATATCCATATTCCACTTAAATGTAAGAAGTTTCCGATATAAACTACCTCATATTTCTGAGCAAATCTCTGAATATGACATTGTATGTTTTACAGAGACACACGTTGATCTTGTTCATGATTCTGTAAACACAGTGACCTGAAAATAGATCTTTATCATTCTCCTTATAGGAGGGATAGGAATTGTTTTAGGGGTGGTATTATTGTATATTTCTCGGCATTGTACGTTAAACGTAGGGAAGATTTAGAATCATACAATTATGAAAATATGTGTTTTGAGGTTTTCTTGCCTCAGAAGAGAATATTATTATGTGTGTGGTACAGACCACCTAACACCCCTGTGTTGTATTGGTATCAACTAGAACACTCACTTGAACCTGCTCTAGATTATACGCCTTACGTTGTTCTACTCGGTGATTTTAACGAAGATTTACTCAACAGCAACCTTCACCAACTGCACGATATTTTAGTTAGGAAGAGTTTACGTAATGTAATTAAAGAGTCGACATGCGTCACTCAGCATTCACAAACTCTGCTTGACCCTATTGTTATCAGTGATGATTGCAATTGTATAGAGTCGAGTGTTGTCGACTTCAGCACGGATATAAGTGACCACAAGGGAGTTGTTGTTTAGCTAACGAACTGCATTGACATGAAAAAATTCTATGTGAGAGAGGTTCTAATTTATAAGATGGTGACTATGCGAAGTTAAATGAATTGATTGAATCAACTGATTGGATGTGCATGTTTAATAGCTGCGAGTCTGTGGATGAAATATGTGATATTTTTCTGTCCACATTTAAAAACTATATAAGCTTATGCATACCAAGCTGGCTGTCACAATAAGGCCAAAAGATAAACCATGGTTTGATAGTGAACTACGTAGAGAAATAAGAATTAGAAATCGACTGAGTAAAAAAGCTAGACGAACATGCAATGAACACGATTTATCTAAATATAGAAAACAAAGAAATAAAGTAAACAATTTGAAGAAAGCTGCCAAGGAAAACTTTTATCTTAACTCAAATGAATTATTATCTACACAAATCAAGGAAAACAGTTCTAATTATTGGAAACTTTTACGTCACTTGATCAAAGAGTCTGGAGACAGCAACGTGATCCCCCCCTCTGGTCACTAACAACAACACTGTACCTGAAGCATTTTCTGATTTTGATAAAGCTGAAGCTCTCAACAATTATTTTACGTCAGTTTCCAATGTTGATGATGAAGGCGCCTCACTACCACCATTTGTTAAACTATGTGAACATGAGTTGGATTATACCGTTATTGAAAGTCAAGAAATAACAGATCTCATAAAGTCCCTACCGGTAAATAAAGCAAGCGGTCCCGACAACCTGAATCAAAGATTACTTAAATATATATCACTATCCATAGCCAATCCTTTACGCTTGTTATTTAATTTGTCTCTTGAACAAAGCATATTCCCATCACAGTGGAAACTTGCTAATGTAATGCCTTTGTACAAAAAGGGAGATAAATCCCACCCTTCCAACGACAGGCCTATTTCACTGTTATCTTGTCTTGGGAAATTATTTGAAAGACTCATTTTTAAAAGAATGTATAATTACTTTCTGAAGAATAAACTACTTTCCAAATATCAATTGGGATTCATGTCAAACAATTGTACTACATATCAATAAATTAAAATTTACCATCACATTTGTAATTCACTTGATGATCATAAATATTTTTGTATGATATTCTGTGATATTTCTTTGGCATTCCGTAGGGTATGGCACAAAGGTATATTGCATAAACTTCAACAATATGGTATAACTGGTAAATTATTAGCTTGGTGTCTTAGTTATCTGTCAGCCCATTGCCAAAGAGTATTTATTAATGGTAGTTTATCAAGTAAAAAATTCACTAAAGCAGGTGCTCTGTACTGGGTCCGTTCCTATTTCTAGTTTACATAAATGATATTACTGATCATCTTCAAAATATTGCTAGGTTATTCGCCGACGATACATGTATAGGAACTTCATCTACTGATATGGTCGTAATTGAAGACAGACTAAATCAAGACCTTCTCTCTCTCTATCATTGGGCAAGCTTTAAACTTTAATCCAACTAAGACAAAATACATGCTTTTTAGTCACAAACAGGTACAGGATTATCCACCTATTTGCTATGCTAACAGTGCCATTGAACATGTTGAAACCCACAAACATCTGGGGGGCACATTATCTCAAGATACGAAATGGACTGCACATGTTTCAATTATTGCTAGGTCAACAGCGAAAATGGTTTCAGCTATGCGTAAAGTTAAAAATAAATTAAATAGATATAATCTGTCAAAAATCTATCCGACATTTATAAGACCTATTCTGGAATACTCATCGGAAGTATGGGACAACTGTTCTGCTTATAACGAAAATATACTTGAATTAATACAACTTGACGCTGCCAGAATTGTGACAGGTTTGACCAAATTTGCCTCGAGAGAAAGTTTATATTTTGAAACCGGCTGGCTACCACTAAAAGAGAGACGAAAAATTAAAAATCTTACGACAGTGCACAAAATAATAATAAATGAATGTCCCTCATATCTAAAGGATTTGTTACCCCACAATAGATCAGCTGCTTCAAATCATAACCTACGTAACAAACAGAACATGACTGTACCTTTTGCCAGAACAAGTACATTTCAGAAATCATTAATAATAGACTCTTTGAAAAAATGGAATTCACAAAATGAAAATATTAATATTAATAGTATCTCTGTAGCTGAATTAAAAACAAAAATTTATCCAAATGTTATTAAATCTCCAAATTATTTCAGTTATGGAAAGCCTCAAATTAATATTACCCACACAAGACTTAGACATAGAGGTAGCAATCTAAATGATGATTTATTTAGGGTTAATTTGTCAGACACTATTTCTTGCCTTTGCGGTTCCCAATGCTAAATGCTTTTCACTATTTTCTTGAATGTAAAAAATATTCTTTAATAAGACAATCTTTGTTTATCAACTTTAGGAATATAGAGCTAGGTCGCAAACTCCGACATTCATACAGTTTGGCCCTCACTCTGTGAAGGTTCATACTCCAATGAACTCACACAAAGTGAACGTCAATTCTTAAATAAAACCTGTAGCCAGTTTCAAGAAATTCTGTTTTATTCTGAAGTTGAAACTCAAGAGTTATGTATATGTTTCATATGTAATGCAAAATTCATAATGTATAGCAATGGGAAAATATGAATATATTTTGAATATTTAATAATACAATAGAACTAATTAATGTGTGACAGATCAGGGAGTAGCCAGAACACGTATATAACGAACACGATAGAGCCAACAAACGAATACAGGAAACTGTTACAAAATCCCTGATTTATATTCTCTATATTATCATTTTGTTTAAAGTGGTACAACATTATTAATCATTTTTCACTTGTTGAATTTTTTCAGGTCAGCTTATGAGCTTGATAACCCATGTGCATAGAATAGTTTAATTTATTTGTTGAATGTGCCTGTTATTATTTAAGTCACTGACTGGGAGCATTTTTAAAGGAGTAATTATATTTTGCTTCAGATTTAAAAGTCAGCAAGCAGCTCCTGAAGACTCGCAGTGGAGAATTTGATCTTGCAAGCATACATTCACTCTTTCTTCGTGATGTAGGTGAGTACAAGAGCCACAGGTACACTTCTCATGTTTAGTTTCGCTCAACTCAAATTTCTTTTTCATATGTTAGGGAATAACATACTGTGTGTTTAATGATGAGCTAGGTTACCTGTAGATATAACTAAGCTAGATTTATTTGTACACGAATGCACATCATGAGGTTTTAAATGTTTAATTTGGTCCAATGTCAGGAGTGGGTTATCAGTCTGAATTCAGGAAACTCGAATAAAAGTCTTTATGATGCTATATATATGCTCAAATATTGTCTTTTTGTTAAAACATCACTAAAACATTAAGGAAGCTTTGCAAGATTTAGTTCAACACCGCATGTCACTATATTGTGACAACATCGCTCATTGTTATGAACAAAATATGACATCCATGTTACAATAGTATATTATAAGGCACCAACTGTCGAGTTGTCTGTTTTCCGTTAAACATAAAATGCACTTTGTCGATATCTATTTTGTTTTCTGCTCAAAATGTGTTGCCACAAATACTTTGAATAGTGTAGCAACTGCAACTTTGCAATTAGTAACATGTAATTCATCTTCCAGAGGCAAGAGTATCCACTAGTATCAAAGTCTAGTGAAAACTTGGGAAGATACACACAATTTTACCTACTGTTATTACACATTGTCTACCAACAATGATTGAGAAAGAAATACTTTTCTTTGAATATTAGCTTCAATGGTGAAGCAGTTGTCAATTTAGCTGATTCAATCGGAGGTGGTTATAATCCTCCACCACGATGTGGGGCTGGGCCTAGATTTTCAAAAAGATCTTAGCTAAGATAAATCTAAACTTCTTATGTTTAAAGATAAGATATGTTAAGGTTAAGATAAGATAGATTTTCGAAACTATCGTAAACCTGTCGCAGATCACACAAAGATACGATAGCTATCGTAACTCTGACAGAGAACTCATTTGTGTCAGAGATTGAAAAAACGGGTTGTTTCCCAATGATGTCACAGGGATTTTCCAGCCGCTGACAATAACAACAACATGGAGAAGTGACATGGAATTCAGGATCACATTGTCAGGTCACATTGTTTAACACGCAACTATTTGAGTGAAATTCCGTACAATCCTACATATGACCAACATGTAGGCGTTCTGTTATTATGATAAAAGATGCCATGACTACTCGAACACAAATAGCACTCGTGTGCTATGCAAAGACATTTTTTAAAACCAATAAATGTTATAATCAATAAGTGTAGTGTTACCACACTATAGCTATTAGAATTGAAATAATGTGCAAAAAGATTCTTCCCTACTTTCCCTCCATGTTGAACTTCATGTGAACACATTGCTTACAAGGTCAAGGGCGAAAGTAAGGGACGTTATTCTAAATGGCAATGACTAGACGAGACCTTTGATCGAACAGCCGGCGTTCAGCATTTAAGATGCATGTTCAAGTCTGATGTTATGTGATGTATACTGGGTCTAACTAGATCCATAATTCTTTCCAAAATTTAAAAGTGACACTAATTTTCGTTCGCAAAGAGAGATAATATAGGAATTGTCAAGTTATGTTGTCTCAGGGAACACGCCACAAGTTACAGACTGTAACTAGAACATACATATAATGTAGTCCTTTTCTATCCTTTTGAATTAGTAGAGTTAATAAACTGATTTTTCTGATTTCATTTAAGTCCGGCCGATGAGTGAAATACATTGTAAATGTGTCAAATCACTGTAAAGTATAGGGTCAACAGACAAATACTAGTATAAATGATCCTCAGCAATGCTGTCAGACAAGCCAAACATCATCGAACTACGTTCTGGAATAGATTTAATTGTCTGAATGGTCTAAATCTTATTAAAATCAGATCTTAGTTCTCACTATCGCTAAACAAAGATCTGAGGACATCCCATTACAGGTCACGTCAGACCGACCTTGCGCGAAGTTTGACCGACCAATGGAAGGACTGACAAGAAGTCGACATTAGCCAATCAGAAGGCAGATTTCTCGTGCATTATGGCACTAATTTCCAATTGACGACTACGCTTCGAAACATATTTTGACAAAATCTTGATTAAAAATGTGAAACCTGAACAAAAGAAGATTCTGGAATGGCTAATAGATGGTCCAGATTGTATTGATTCAGTCGTTAAACCTGTAACTATCGTTCGGAATACCCTGTGTTAAAGTTTTTGAGATTGCATGATTAGAAATCACATTCCGACTGTCACTTTCATGATCTGGTAAGCGACGCTCTGATTGGTCAGATGAAAAGTCGTTCTGACGTGACCCCTAATGGGATGTCCTCAGATCTTTGTTTAGCGGTAGCGAGAACTAAAATCTGATTTTAATGAGATTGGAATGGTCTCAAGTATCTATACATTTTTTTAACATAAAACGGGTAGATGTACATATAAATATTAAAAAGACTAAAATCAATCATTTTTTTAAAATCGGTATATTGAATGCAAAATTCAAAGATTATTGTGTTGAAATTGCCTATTTTATATTGATCAATAAATTTATTCAATAAAAGTTTTCTGCGAACATATATTGGAAAGTGAATTTGGACGATGTTCAAACTATGATACTTTTTGACGACATTTTAAACCCGAAGGAGCATGGGAACCCATTCTTTATTTGACTTTTTAATGCGAAAATCTGTGCTTAACTTCTGCTGTCAAAATTTCAATAAATTGTTATATTTAATGGAATACATCTATATGCCGTTAATCACCTGTTTTTGAAGAATGCACTTGTTCAACAGACAGTTTTTAATCACTTGTTATCCAATATTTGTCTTTCAATAATATAGATAACCTAGGTGTTGTTTTTAAAATATAAAAAATACAATTACTTTTGCTAGAAAATTTTTTAAATATACACTTTATACAAATACACTATACACATATTTGATCACATGTATTTCCTTGTTAAATCAATAAATACTACACTGTATAGTTATACTCATTTGTTAAAACCGCTCGTCCCACACTATTTTAGATGTAAAACCTGATGAGAAACGCTTATGGTTTTGCACTTCTGTCACACATGTAGATTGATATAATTTTATAAAATGCGAAAATAAAGACTAAAGCATTGTCACAAATGCAATCCAGAAAATAAAACATCGGAACTCTGCGCTTTAAGAAAACTGTAACATTGAGCAAGGTCTCGCCGGGCGAATACAAAGTGAAACCACTCTCAGTTAGAGTATGAACTGAGTTATCAATAAGGTCACGGTCATTACTATAGCCTGCCGACACTTTCCTTGGAAAAGGTACGTTGTTTCACCCTTCTTCAGCATGGACTCAGATAGAAATATATTGTAAGCTACTGACTCCATAGGCATGTGGATCACTGTCGCGATTAAGAACATTTCTGAAATGAAATCTTTGATGTGTGCTTCGTGTTTTTGAAGTGTCAATTTGAATCACACAGTTTAACAAAATGAAATGTTAATAATGGAACATAAAGCAGACTAATTGTTTGGCAAAATATCTATGGCAAAATATGCCACCATCTTGAATGAAGATAAAATAAACTGATGATAGCTATGTAGCTATCTTAAATTTACGATAAACTTAAGATATCTTAGGGTATGATAGTTTCGAAAATAGGCTATGATAGCCTACGATTTCCTTATGATAACTTTACGATAATTTTAGGGCTACGATTGTTTTGAAAATCTAGGCCCAGGGCTATAGGAATGGAGGTCGTCTGTCTGTCCGCCCACTTCTCAAAGGGGACAAATTTTCTCAAAAACTATTGAAGTTGGAGAAATGAAATTTTACACACTGACATACTGGTCATGATCTCAAATGAGTTTGAAAGGTACTTTCTTTAAGCAGTTTCTTACAGCCTAAGGCCCTTGCGCTGTGCTTTTCAACTTAGTGCATACTGCTTGAAATGGGGAGAAATGGGGACAAATTTTCTCCAAAACTACTGAAATTACATGGCTGAAAGTTTGCATACTTATATTAAGATATACTTGCCCTTGCTCCATGCTTTTCAACATTGTGCATAGTGTCTGCAGTGGAGACAAGTTTTCTCAGAAACTACTGATGTTATATAAACATAACTTTGGAAGCTTATCTAAGAGATTCTTGGCCAGGCTGAGTTCGGAAATTGATGCTGTAAATTATTTGTTTTCAGATTTATGGCTCTTGCTCCATGCTATTCAACTTAGAGCATAGTGTCTGCAATGGGGACAACTTTTCTCTTTTGACGTTACATTAATAAAATTTTGCATGCTTATCTATGAGAAACAAAATAACTTCCCTTGCTGTATGTTTTTAGATTTTGAGCAAACACAGTTATGGTCCTTGATCCATGTTATTTTACAAAGTGCATCGTGTCTGCCATGGGGACATGTTTTCTTGGAAACTACCGAAGTTAGCTTGTGTAAGAGATACTTATCAAGACTGAATTTGAGAAATGGGGTGCCATAAATTATTTTTTCCAGAGTGTGTATTATTTTCACGTTTAATATTTTTTTGTGATGACATAAAGCAACATATAGTGCCTATCTTTTCTTAAGGCTATATAGGACTCTTTTTCATAGTTTATATTCACTACTATATGAACAAACAAAATTCTTACACTACATTTCATAAGTAACTTCCCCTATTTTCTCGCCACTATTGCGGCACTAACGCGGAATTATCACGCCACCTTTGAGCCATTAACGCGAAACTATTGCACCACTTTCGAGACACTTTCACACCATTTTCGCGATAACATTTTACAAGATCGTGGCACTTTCGCGAAACTTTCATGGCACTATCGCGCCACTTTCAAGCCACTATGGCGACACTTTCACGCCACTTTCGCGCCGCTTTCGAGACAGAATAGTCACGCTATCTTCTGACAGTTGTGCTTAATGTACGGTACAATATATTGTATTACTTTTTTCCTTGACTGATTTTGAGTTACATTTTCCATGGCATGCTAGTCTGCATTATTTAAGATCATAGTGTAAAGCTTCTTTTCCTTTTACAAATACCGATATCTATACTTTATTTAGACT